TTGGCTCTATTCACAGACTGTACTCTGATTTGGTCGGAGATTGTTCCCCGTCCTGGCAATCAGGTATAGAAAAGGCGCTGGCTGCGGGGGGCGCAATGCCGGAAAAGGAGAGGGAGGGCCAGCATCGCGGTGGCGGAGTTCCTGGCCAGCGCACGTAACAGCTAACAGGTTAAAATGCTTACTGTGTTAAAGTTTAATAAAGCTGTGGCCATTGCCATTGCCCTTACCCAACAATCAGGTGTCATGTCATTATTGGGGGGTAACGGGTTTGGTATTTGGGTCAGCAGTCAAGATATCCCCTGGACTGCAAGGATGGGGAGTTATGACTGCTGTCCTGCAGTAAGGGGGTGGGAGTATGAGCAGGGGCGGACTGAGAACCCTCAGGGCCCCCGGGCAAAATAAATCAAGGGCCCCCTTACAGGCCCCACCCATACTCTGCAGCAAGCGCCACCCTTGTCCCGCCTCCAGCCACACCGTACACAATCTTTAGACACAAGGAACAAAAGGGCAATAAGCCCTTCGAGGCCCCAGTAGAGACTACAATTGAGGCTAATGGGCCATGGAGGGGGGTCTTTCTAGCGGAGGCTATCTCAGTGTCCTTTAGAGGGTGTGTTAGAAAGAATCCCCTCCAAGCCCCATTAGAGACTACAATGGAGTCTAAAAGGCTTGGAAGGGGTCTTTCTAACAGAGGCCATCTCAGCGTCCATTAGATATCCCCTGCTGGAAACAGTCGCCTCCAGGCCCCAGTAGAAACTACAATTGAGGGCTAATGGGCCATGGAGGGGATTTCTAGCAGAGGCTAGAGTCTAATGGGGCCTGGAGGGTGGTCTCTCCAACACTCTGGTTCCTATTCACAATATAACAACACAACATAGCTCGCTGATACCTAAGCCAAGTTGGCTCCTCTTACCTTAATTACTGTTGCTGGCTGGCAGTCTGTGGGCTTGCTGGCTGCGGCTGGCAGGCTGTGGGCTTGCTGGCTGCGGCCGGCAGGCTGTGGGCTTGCTGGCTACTGCCGGCAGGCTGTGGGCTTGCTGACTGCGGCTGGCAGGCTATGGCTTGCTGGCTGTAAGCCTGTGGCTTGCTGTAGGCCTGTGGGCTGGCTACTGGCCTGTGGGCTGGCTACTGGCCTGTGGGCTGGCTACTGGCCTGTGGGCTGGCTACTGGCCTGTGGGCTGGCTACTGGCCAGCCTGTGGGTTGGCTGGCTGGCTACTGGGGCACTTGTAGATTATTTAAAGAAATAATCCATGCACAATAACCACTACTGCCCCAGAGTAAGTAGTCAAACCGTTTAAGAACAGTTTGACAACTTACCTGGGGTCTGCTGGGATATGAGGCTGTAGTAGGGAATAGGAGCAGTGGTGCAATGTGTGTGAAGGGTTCAGTGTGTGTGTGGGGGTGTAGTGTGTGAATGTGTAGGGTGTGTGGGCAGTGTATGTGTGTGGCAATGTTAGTATGGGGGGCTGTGTATGGGGTCTGTGTGTATATGGGTGGGCAGTGTATGTGTGTGTGTGAGGCAATGTGTGTAAATGTGTATGGTGTGTATGGGGGCAGTGTGTGAATGTGTATGGTGTGTGTGTGGGGGCAGTGTGTTTATGGGGCTGGGTTCACTCTCACCACTGCGACCACCAGGAATCCATGGGGGTTACAGTGTTGAGAGTGAACTCTAGCCCGTAGCTCCAGGGCTAGAGTTGACTCTCGCAAGAGCAGTAACGTTGCCATGGTAACCGCGGCAACGCTCTGTGCTCGCGCAAGAAGGACCCAGAGGAGCTGCAGGGTGGGCTCCCAGGTCCTCTCTTCCTCCCCTGCCCGCACGGTGCCTGCGGACAGGGGAGGGGGGGCATTCTTCCCTCTCTTTCTCCCCCCTCCCCCAACTCTCTATTCCCCCTCTTTCTCCCCGTGTCTCATTCTTCCCTCTCTGTCTCTTTCTCCCCCTCCCCATCTCTCTATTCCCGATGTCTCATTCTTCCCTCTCTGTCTCTTTCCTCCCCTCCATCCTCTCTATTCCCCTCTTTCTCCTGTGTCTCATTCTTCCCTCTCTTTCTCCCCCCTCCCCATCTCTCTATTCCCCTCTTTCTCCCCGTGTCTCATTCTTCCCTCTCTGTCTCCCCATCTCTCTATTCCCCGTGTCTCATTCTTCCCTCTCTGTCTCTTTCTCCCCCTCCCCATCTCTCTATTCTCCCTCTTTCTCCCTGTGTCTCATTCTTCCCTCTCTGTCTCTGTCTCCCCCTGTGTCTCATTCTTCCCTCTCTTTCTCCCATCTCTTTATTCCCCCCTCTTTCTCCC